GAAGAGCTGAATTTTACATTGTGTGAGTTGAAGGTTATATCTAAATTGCTAGTTTTTTACCATTGCTTTGAGGAATTTATTCCTTCCAGAAAGGAAATCTTATGCAAGCCACCTTGTGTTGATAGAAATAGGCGTGTGGAGTTGTTGTTACTATCTATCTTCCCTAAAGTCATAACTACTATTGGCAGGTCTATTTAAGGGCCAGGATATTAATTCACTTTTGAGCTATTTTCTTCTTAGGCATTTGGATTTGTAGTTTTTTTAAAGGGATAATTTGGTCTAGCTTACTATTTTATTGCATGGCCACTTGAAGTTTGGTTTAAGACATGTTGTCAACTTATCTGAAGTATTCATCACACCATTTATGAAGTTTGGTAAATGTCTCTAGCCATTATTGACATTGATGCAAATATATTTGTTGGGCTGTTTGATCACATGATTATGTGTTTTTTTTTTCTTCCCACAAAAGAGGGTCTATATGATGTAATGCTCTATTTGCCAGCCTTATCTCATAGTGAGCACATTTCTCTCTTCTGTAATCCTTAGTATAATACAGACTATTCTTAGGGAAATTAAAAAAGTTGTTTAACCTAATGGAAGAATTTGTTCTTCCTTGACATTACATTGATGCCTGAGTTCATATCCATATAAAAGGAGTAATGACTATTCAGAAAATCTACCATATTTCTTGAATAAAGGTTATCTTGTCATCATGCAACTATTAACATTACTTTAGAGCGAGAGTGTGTACTCATTTTCTTCTTTGTTTGATGCCTTGTTGTAGATCAAATTTTTTTATTGAATTAACTATACATATGTGGTCTGTCGAACAACATGATGAAAGTTTATTTAGTTGATGGTGTAGATCGCAGAGGCAAATTCTTTTTTGTTTTATAAAAGGAGATAAGTATAATTTGCCAGTACTTCATTAACATCTGACTGATGTTTATGTCATCATTTTTGTTAATGACCTTGGAAGAGCATCATTTGAACAGGTTAGCTCGACAATTCAAGTTTTACAAACAACCTTATACAAACGGTTGCCTTTTTTCTTTGGTATAACTGACACAAGACAAGTAAGTTTAGCTTCTCTAGATGCCAAAATTTTGTCTGGCTATAACATGGGTGCGACTATATTTTCAACATTTGATGAAGCACAGTGCTAGAGGATAAACTCCAAGCGAGAATTTTGGGGGTCCCAAACTGTTTAAGCCTCGACTTAGTTCTTCATATGCTAATAACAATAGGGGTACCCTCATTACTTTATTGCTTTTAATTTTCACCATTTATTATTTTCATTTTGGTCATTTTTTGTTGTATTCAATGCTTTCTTTAATTTGACTACGACTGCAAATGGATGTGATGATAAAGCAATAGATAAAGAGGATGATTCTCCAACCAAAGTGTGAATTCAGGAGTCATCCAATGCTATATTAATATTCCTTCATTTGCACATGGGTGTATACATTCTCAACACAGTTTTTATTTGCTGCTATGAATTGGACGACAAGCCCTATACCACAACAACTTCTACCTCTGGGTTTGTGCCACTTATATCTTTTTGAATCTCTATTGGTGCTAGTCGTTTCTCTTTTGATGATTGTAAGATGAGCTGATTAAGTATGCATCCATTTGATCTCATTAGTCCTAACATGGGGATGTCGTTCATAGAACAAAGCTTTTTGATGGACCCTTTCCCATTATTTTGGTTGAGCAAAATATCGATGAGGGGCAATTGCCACGCACTAAGTGAATGATTGAAGTACTGGGGCCTTCCTTTTTTTTTAGTGGCCTAATACACATTGATTAATCATTGTTCATGTAGAAATTTTTCTTTTTAATTCACCCTTTTTGGTACTATTTTCCTTAAACAATGACACTTTTTTATTTTTTTTTAAAGCACCTGAACACCAAAGAATTAGTCTAAGATTCATTGTCAGCTCCCTTCAGTTGCTGATACAATACACAACAATATGCATGACTATAATATGGTATTATTGTGGAATGATATGTGATGTGGATCCCGACTCACCTAAATTGTTGGATCATTTTGTAGTTGATGCCAATGCTACTTTAGTTTTTCTGGCACATTTTGGTTGGAATGGAATTGATAAGATATTGGGAGGGACTAAGCGAAAAGTTAATATTTTTAGATTGATGTCTTTTGTCATTATATAGACAAGAATTTCATTACTAATCTTTGTGAGAATATCAAGCTCCTCCAAGCGGCTGCTAACTTGGTGCATAATGAATTTGAAAGGTGTACCAAAGGTAGGAAACTACATCGTCACATGCCGGCTAGTATTGCAGTTGACATTGAGAGTATTTCTTTCCAAGATAAATAATTTTTGGGAGGAGATTAAGGACTTGATGTCCTGTAAGACAAACTTATAAGTAAAGCACTATAGATAGGCTTGAACTTTTAAGATAAGAGTAGCATTGCCGTGAAACCCACCACCAAGCTTTTGTTGATTCTGAGGCTACATTGACTTGTGCTATGATGGAGTTATGGACTGCTAAGCTTTAAACTCTTGAAGTGATAACAACTTCAAGATTTACGAGCTCATTTGTTTTAATGCATTTCATTATGTTTGTTTGATGTAACTTAAAATTTGTATTCTCCTACAGGCACACATACAACGCGCGTGTGTGTATATATAATAATAATAATAATCTGACATCTTTTATTTTTATGTTCTTGCATATGTGATTTGCCCCAAATAATTCATCAAAGTCTCGTAGTTGATATTGCGAGGGTGCATCTTTCACTCTAGACTTTGACGACAAATTTGCAATTGTTTTGGCCTAACTATAATAAATTGTTGAGCTAATTGAGATTAAATCAATTTATTGATTTATGTGAGATAAACTTAACAATGAAAAATCCTCATTGTAATGTGAAGATTGATTTAAGACACCATCTTTCTAATGTTTTTTTCTTTAACACACACACAGTTGCAAAATTGACCTAATTTGCCTTCATGGTTTGTTGGAAGGAAAGAGCATGCATTTGGTCATTATGCATTATACTTTGACGGGCTTGATAAATGATGCACATCAATGACCTAACCTTCAGAGCTTTTATTAGGTTGATCGTGTGATTTATGCGAAATGGACTTAATGATCATAAATCTGCATTGTAATGTGAAGATTGATTTAGGATTCATTTTTTCTTATGTTCTTTCCTTTAACACATATTCAAGAAATTGACCTGATTTGCCTTCTTGAATTTATCGGAAGGAAAGAGCATGCTTTTTGTCGTTATGCGTTCTATTGTGATGGGCTTGATAAATGATGCACATCAATGACATATCCTTCGGAACTTGTATTATGTAGATGGTTGGATTTGTTGGTCTAGTGTTTAATGAACATATTGATGATTGAATTCCTTTAGTTTAGCTCTGGGTCTTGAACAACATTAGGATACTTCCAACATGTGTTTTTTTTTTCATTAAACTTATTGAAATAAAGGATTTTTCTTCGATCAAATCTTGATTCTTGGTTAAACTTGTTGAAGGAATAAATTTGGAATGAGGACTATCCCTTTAATTTTTGCCTTGGTCCCCCACTCAATTGAGAAGACCTTCATTAATTTGGGCCTCTTGAACTCGTCAAGTTGGATACATGCTTGAGACTTGTCAGCTTTTGTCATCAAACTAATGAAACAACGACCTCTCACTGTCGTTGTTCTTTTACATGCCGTGTAAGGATAGCTATCAACTCTTGGCCATATTTGGATGTGTGAATTTGATCTTCAGGATTTTCTCAAGTCCTAGATTTGAGTTATGGAGAACTTATGCTTTTCTAACTTGGTTAATTAGATCTTAGAAACTAGGATACCCTCCTTTTTGGTTTTCAAGATCTTAGATTTTTTGCATTTGAAAATTTTCCTACTTGACTTCATGGATGATTATTGAGTGAAGATTATCTCTTCGAGTTTACCTTAAACTAGATTGGTTGAGAAAATCTCATGAATGTGGGTCACTTAAATTTATCAAAAGCTTGGAATTTTATAGATTTTGTCATTAAATTGATGAAACAGAAGCTCTTTTACTACGACTGCTCTTGTGGTTTATTGAGTGAGAAGAGTTATTTGTGCCTCGACTAGTTTTGAACCCGGATAAATGCTCCTGAACAAGGCAACTAAGGCTTCCATTAGGGAGTAGAGGAATAAGAAGCCGCCGAGGGGGAGGAGAGGAAGAAGCTTTAGGAAAGACCTTAGGTTCGGATCTTCTTAATTCTAATTCTAAAACGACTGTCGTTATTCAGCGAAGGTCGGCTGATGAATTAACTCTAATCGAAAGGAAACCTTCCATTTCGACAGGTGATATGAGGGGTGGTGACGGCGAGACTCCTTTTATTTTGGGTTTGACACCGATATATCTCTGTATGAAGAGGAACCTCGCATCGATGCATCTGGTTTTCTTGACCTTGCAAATGTCGACAATCTCTAGACCTTGAAGCCAAGGGTGTACAAGGTCCCAATCGAGATGTCGGTCGTGAGAAGATAGGATTTGGACTTAGATTTGACTCGGAAGCGGTGCCCCTCAGATCAAAATGAAATCAAGATGTGATAACTGTAAGTCCTAAAGTTAAGAGAGATGAGTTAGGTACTGGATCTGGCCTGAGCCTAGCCTCCCAGCCTCCGAGGAATCCCGATGAAGAGAAGGGAAATGCACGACAACCGATATGGATTTGCCTCTCTTCGCCTTTCGGGGGGAGTGATGAATGGATTTCGATGCAGACAGAGGGGCCCAAAGCTTTCGTCTAGAGGGATTCTCGCTTTGCCTTGATCGACTTATGAAAGGGATTAGTTCAACCGTGGTCCGGGAGTGGAGGCTCATGCAACAGAGCTCACAGACACACTGTGATCGGAAGGTTTCAAGGAGAAACTGGACAATCTCAACCCTTTTGAGTTATGTCGCATTGTCATTCGATATTAGTGATTGGGAACAACGTCAGCCCATTACTTCTCTAACCTTCACTTGGATATTGTTGTTGAAACCACACATGTTAGGAAGAAGGCAAGGGTTGCCAAGACTCGCCTTATAAAGGCTTCGCGACGGGCAGACGAAGCTGAGGCTAGCCTCGCTGATGCGGAGTAGAACCTGACGGGGGCCTCAGGGTGGCTCTTAGTTGTGCTCGAGAATGTGGAATTGTTCACAAGGGTGGCCTCATTGTGCACGGCTGAGGATCTCTCTGCGAAGAGAGTGAAGTATAGTTTCACCTTAGTACTAAGTTTGCTGTCAACCAATTAATAAGGCTTGACATGGTTGACGCCAAGTATGCGAACCTGGGCGAGTTTGCTGAGCTCTTGTTCATTCCGACACCTACAGCCAAAAAATTCGTTGGTGACTCTAGGAGTGAATCGATCGAAGAGGGGGCTCTTTGATCTCTCGCTTCTAAGATTACTTATGTTTTGTAGTAAAGAGGCGGGGAGTTTCCTTTTCTAATGTACAACTATAATTTTAATGTTTAGAATTTAATGAAATATGGATTTTTGACTGTTCGTTTCTCGCATTGTTTTTATATATTATTATTATTTTTTGGATAGTTTATGTGAATTTTGATGGCGAGTCTTTAAAATATGTCTCATATAAAAGTTTTTAGATTACTCGCATTGGAGGGGAGTCTTTAATTTGCTTGCCCCCGAGGGGTCTTTATAGGAAAAAAAAAAACCTTTCAAGGAGTGGAGTCTTTATGTTACTCGCTTCGGAGGGGAGTCTTTATGTTGCTTGCCTCGGATGAGGGTCTTTAGATTCCTTGCTCTGGAATGGAGTTTTTATGTTGCTCGTTCCGAATGAGAGTCTTTAGTTTGTTGGCCCCAAAGGGAAGTCTTTGGGTTGCTTAGTCAGTTCAAGTTCTCCGGTCGCTCGTACGTGTGGGCGGAGCGTTTGAGCTCTTCAATTTTCTTAAGTGTCTTCTATGCCTTAAGCTGCCTGTAAAACGTGTTCATGGTGTACAAAAATTAAAGAAATAGAGTAAAAAATGTCAAAATGGAAGTTCTTTATTATCTTCATTCATGTTTGTCCAAGAAGTCCTTTAAGGAACGAATTGTTTGAGATCATCTCTGCTC